TGGGACCTACGGCCCCGGGCCTCTGGCTCCTCTACCTCACGAAGTTCACGCTGAACTTTCTTAAAACTAAAATGACTAAAAAGGCTGCTCTGTTGTGAATGTTTTGAGAGCGTTGTCAATCTTAAAGACGAGGAATGGCTGCTTGTTCTCGGGAACGAGCTTCGCGCTGTGTGATATGATCATGCAGATTATTGGACAAAATTATTCAGCCAATAAACAGGACTATTTGAAGCAACGTGAACGCTCAGGGGGTTACATTTTCTTAAAACATTAGAACGCAACATTTAGGCAATAATGTGTGTATAAAAATAACAATATTAAAATTATGACTTTTAATAAAAAGGCTAATGACTTGAGAGGCGAAGAACAAATTTGAGTAGGCCAAGAAAAAAACTGGTAGGCACCGGCCTACCCGGGCCTATCCCTGGCGCCGCGGCTGCTCTAGTCTCTCTCTGGTTGCTCTCTGGTCTCGCTGAAGTCGCACTCTGGTCTCTCTCTGGTCTCTCTCTGGTCTCTCTCCGGTCTCTCTCTGGTCTCTCTGAAGTCGCTCTCTGGTCTCTCTCTGGTCTCTCTCTGGTCTCTCTGAAGTCGCTCTCTGGTCTCTCTCTCTCAGCTCTGCTCTCCCTCTAGTCTCTCTCTCTCTCTGGTCTCTCTCTTAAACCTCGTCTCTCTCGTTTCCTAGGTGACGGTGTGGGAGACGCCTGTGACAATGACTTTGATAACGACACCATCATCGACATCATTGACGCGTGTCCAGAGAACGCCGAGGTCACGCTCACGGACTTCAGAGAATATCAGACCGTGGTCCTGGACCCGGAGGGAGACGCCCAGATAGACCCCAACTGGGTGGTCCTCAACCAGGTGCAGCAGACACACACACACTCAGATACAGACACACACAGATACAGACACACACACACACACACACACACACACAGAGACACACAGAGACACACACAGATACAGACCCACACACAGAGACAGACAGACACACACAGATACAGACCCACACACAGAGACAGACACACAGAGACACACACAGATACAGACCCACACACAGAGACAGACAGACACACAGAGACACACACTGATACAGACACACACACAGAGACACTCAGATACAGACACACACAGATACAGACCCACACACAGAGACAGACACACACAGATACAGACCCACACACAGAGACAGACCCACACACAGAGACACACACAGAGACAGACACACACAGATACAGACCCACACACAGAGACACACACAGAGACAGACACACACACAGAGACACACACAGAGACAGACACACACAGATACAGACCCACACACAGAGACACACACAGAGACAGACACACACAGAGACAGACACACACAGATACAGACCCACACACAGAGACACACACAGAGACAGACACACACACAGAGACACACACAGAGACAGACACACACAGATACAGACCCACACACAGAGACACACACAGAGACAGACACACACAGATACAGACCCACACACAAAGACACACACAGAGACAGACCCACACACAGAGACACACACAGATACAGACCCACACACAGAGACAGACAGACACACACAGATACAGACCCACACACAGAGACAGACAGACACACACAGATACAGACCCACACACAGATACAGACCCACACACAGAGACAGACAGACACACAGAGACAGACCCACACACAGAGACAGACAGACACACACAGAGACAGACACACACAGAGACAGACACACACAGATACAGACCCACACACAGAGACAGACCCACACACAGACACACACACAGATACAGACCCACACACAGAGACACACACAGATACAGACCCACACACAGAGACAGACAGACACACACAGATACAGACCCACACACAGAGACAGACAGACACACACAGATACAGACCCACACACAGAGACAGACCCACACACAGAGACAGACAGACACACACAGAGACAGACACACACAGAGACAGACAGACCAGTGTGGGCGGGTCCCAGCTCAAAAGTGGCCAAAAAGACGTGCGCTGACATGCTGCAATACCACCCCGGGCCTGTGGGGGTGGACCCAGAAGAAGAATTAGCCAATGCTAACATATAGCATCTTCTTACCTGTCAAACGTCTTTACAGGATGGTCCAAAAGTTGTCTCTTGGCCCAAAGCTCCGTTCCACATGTGTGTCAATGCTGAGTGTTCTGGACCAGTCTAGTTTAGTTTCTGAAGTCTCTCGTTCAAATGAATGGAGCTGCGCCGGCTGACGCATGCGCAAATGCGTTTTTTCACAATTTTCTTGTGGGCGGGACCACTCGCCATTTTGGATTGCTCCAGTAGAGCACAACTTTTGCCCAAGCCCCGGTGATCCAAGATGGCGCCCTATTCAAATGAATGGCTTGTGCTCAGTAGATCATGGGACTTCATGGAGACCGGGAGATTAGCAGAACTCGCCTGTATTTGGGCATCGTCTGGTCCTCCCGGTTCTGCGCAGTCGATTAGCGGCGTCACGCCAAACGTGCGTGTGTGACTTTCATGCGCGTGCACAGAGGGGCTCGGCCGCGCTCTGACCAATCAGAGCTGCTCATCAGAGCAGCGGCAGGGCGGAGCCAGAGCGAGAAGGAAAGGAGCAGAGTTTGTGGCAGTAAAGTGTGGATTTAAAGAAAACAGAAGGATTTAAGAAGAAAAAAAGTTCAGGATGACAAGGGACACTAGAATCCCCACAAAATCTGATCTTTATGAAAGCTGTAGGTTCTCTGTCAGGTTCTCTGTCAAGTTCTCTGTCGGGTTCTCTGTCGGGTTCTCTGTCGGGTTCTCTGTCGGGTTCTCTGTCAGGTTCTCTGTCGGGTTCTCTGTCGGGTTCTCTGTCGGGTTCTCTGTCGGGTTCTCTGTCGGGTTCTCTGTCGGGTTCTCTGTCGGGTTCTCTGTCGGGTTCTCTGTCGGGTTCTCTGTCAGGTTCTCTGTCGGGTTCTGTGTCGGGTTCTCTGTCAGGTTCTCTGTCGGGTTCTCTGTCAGGTTCTCTGTCGGGTTCTCTGTCGGGTTCTTTGTCGGGTTCTCTGTCGGGTTCTCTGTCAGGTTCTCTGTCGGGTTCTCTGTCGGGTTCTCTGTCGGGTTCTCTGTCGGGTTCTCTGTCGGGTTCTCTGTCGGGTTCTCTGTCGGGTTCTCTGTCGGGTTCTCTGTCGGGTTCTCTGTCGGGTTCTCTGTCAGGTTCTCTGTCGGGTTCTTTGTCGGGTTCTCTGTCAGGTTCTCTGTCGGGTTCTCTGTCGGGTTCTCTGTCAGGTTCTCTATCGGGTTCTCTGTCGGGTTCTCTGTCAGATTCTCTGTCGGGTTCTCTGTCAGGTTCTCTGTCGGGTTCTCTGTCAGGTTCTCTGTCAGGTTCTCTGTCAGGTTCTCTGTTAGGTTCTCTGTCGGGTTCTCTGTCAGGTTCTCTGTCAGGTTCTCTGTCGGGTTCTCTGTCAGGTTCTCTGTCGGGTTCTCTGTCGGGTTCTTTGTCAGCTGAGGTTGTGCTGTTTTAATATACATTGAGTTCTATGGAACTTTTTTCTGAGTAGCCCTCGTGAATTTAGTCTGCAGTACCACAGCGCCCCCTGTGCCCATGGGTGGGACAGCTGTAAGCTAATAATACCCTATCCAGTTATTATCATAGATCCATGCTTTTGGCCCATTAGTTAGAACGACGGCGATAGGCGTGACTCTGTTAATATTTACAGTCTATGAGACAGACTCACAGAGAAACACAGAGGCAGGTGAGAAAAGCTGCTTCAGATTAGCCTTAGAATCTTGTTAGCTCATGTTAGCTCCTGTTAGCTCCTGTTAGCTCATGTTAGCTCCTGTTAGCTCCTGTTAGCTCATGCTAATTCGTCTATCTCACAACTTGATAACTATCATGTCTTTTTTTTCTCAGGGAAGAGAGATTGTGCAGACCATGAACAGTGATCCTGGACTGGCTGTTGGTGAGAGCAACTTTACCTACTCTGAACCAGGTCTGAACCAGGTCTGAACCAGGTCTGAACCAGGTCTGAACCAGGTCTGAACCAGGTCTGAACCAGGTCTGAACACTGTCTAAGGAAGGTTTGAAAACAAGGTCAAAAGCAGGTCTACGCCAGGTCTAAACCAGAACTAAAGCAGGCTCAAAAACAGGACTACGCCAGGGGACTAAACCAGGTCTAAACAAGGTCTAACCCCGATCTAACCCAGTCCGTGTGCCCAGGCTACACGGCCTTCAGCGGCGTGGACTTCGAGGGAACGTTTCATGTGAACACGGTGACTGACGATGACTACGCCGGCTTCATCTTCGGGTACCAGGACAGCTCCAGCTTCTACGTGGTCATGTGGAAACAGGTGGAGCAGATCTACTGGCAGGCCAACCCGTTCCGGGCCGTGGCCGAGCCGGGAATCCAGCTCAAGGTGAGGCTAAAGCTGAGGTCTGTAACTTTCAGACCACAGCAGGACTCTTCTTCAGACGGACACTACATTATGAGTGTGTGTGAGTGTGAACCTATGGTTTCTCTCTCTGCTCTGGTCTCTCTCTATGGTCTCTCTCTATGGTCTCTCTCTATGGTCTCTCTCTATGGTCTCTCTCTATGGTCTCTCTCTATGGTCTCTCTCTATGGTCTCTCTCTATGGTCTCTCTCTATGGTCTCTCTCTCTGCTCTCTCTCTCTGGTCTCTCTTTGATCCCTCTCTATTTTCTCTCTCTGCTCTCTCGCTCTGCCTAACTCCCTCTCTCTCACCCTCTCTCCCTAACTCCCTCTCTCTCACCCTCTCTCTCTCTGCTCTCTCTCTCCCTAACTCCCTCTCACCCCCCCTCCCTGTCTCTCTCCCTAACTCCCTCTCTCTCACCCTCTCTCTCTCTCTCCCTAACTCCCTCTCTCTCACCCTCTCTCTCTCTCTGCTCTCTCTCTCCCTAACTCCCTCTCTCTCACCCTCTCTCTCTCTCTCCCTAACTCCCTCTCTCTCACCCTCTCTCTCTCTCTGCTCTCTTTCTCCCTAACTCCCTCTCACCCCCCCTCCCTGTCTCTCTCCCTCTCTCCCTCTCTCTCCCTCTGAAGGCGGTGAAGTCGACGACAGGCCCAGGGGAGAACCTCCGTAACGCTCTGTGGCACACGGGCGACACCTCGGACCAAGTGAAGCTGCTCTGGAAGGACGCTCGCAACGTGGGCTGGAAGGACAAGACCTCCTACAAGTGGTTCCTACAGCACCGACCGGCCGACGGATACATCAGGTAGGACCAGGAGAGACCAGGAGGGACCAGGAGGGACCAGGAGGGACCAGGAGGGACCAGAGAGAGAGCAGAGAGAGACCAGGAGGGACCAGGAGGGACCAGGAGGGACCAGGAGAGACCAGGAGGGACCAGGAGGGACCAGGAGGGACCAGGAGGGACCAGGAGGGACCAGAGAGAGACCAACGAGAGACCAGAGAGAGACCAGAGAGAGACCAGGAGAGACCAGAGAGAGAGACCAGAGAGAGAGACCAGAGAGAGACCAGAGAGAGACTAGAGAGAGACCAGAGAGAGGGACCAGGAGAGACCAGGAGAGACCAGGAGAGACCAGAGAGACCAGAGGGACCAGGAGAGACCAGAGAGAGACCAGAGAGAGACCAGGAGGGACCAGGAGGGACCAGGAGAGACCAGGATAGACCAGAGAGAGAGACCAGAGGGACCAGGAGAGACCAGAGAGAGACCAGAGAGAGACCAGAGGGACCAGGAGAGACCAGAGAGAGACCAGAGAGAGACCAGAGAGAGACCAGAGAGAGACCAGAGAGAGACCAGGAGAGACCAGGAGAGACCAGGAGAGACCAGGAGAGACCAGGAGAGACCAGGAGAGACCAGAGAGAGACCAGGAGAGACCAGAGAGGGACCAGGAGAGACCAGAGAGAGACCAGAGAGAGACCAGGAGAGACCAGGAGAGACCAGGAGAGACCAAAGAGAGAACAGAGATAGGCCAGAGAGAGACTAGAGAGAGACTAGAGAGAGACAAGAGTGAGACCAGAGAGATACCAGAGAGAGAGACTAGAGACCAGGTGAGTGTGTGATGTCCTCTGCAGAGTGCGCTTCTATGAGGGGACACAGATGGTCGCTGACACCGGAGTCATCATCGACGCCACGATGAGAGGAGGACGACTCGGAGTCTTCTGCTTCTCACAAGAAAACATCATCTGGGCCAATCTGCGGTATCGCTGTAACGGTGAGACCAGAGGGAGACAAGAGAGAGACCAGAGAGAGACCAGAGAGAGACCAGAGGGAGACCAGAGAGGGAGAGACCAGAGAGAGACCACAGAGAGAGACCACAGCGAGAGACCAGAGGGAAACAGAGACCAGAGAGAGAGAGACCAGAGGGAGACCGGAGGGAGACCAGAGAGAGAGACCAGAGGGAGACCAGAGAGGCCACAGACCAGAGGAAGACCAGAGACCAGAGACAGACCGGAGGGAGACCAGAGACCAGAGAGAGAGACCAGAGGGAGACCAGAGAGAGAGAACAGAGACCAGAGGGAGACCAGAGACCAGAGAAAGATTAGAGAGAAAGACCAGAGAGAAACTGTAGGGGGAGACCAGAGGGAGACCAGAAGGGGACCAGAGAGAGACCAGAGAGAGACCAGAGAGAGAGACCAGAGAGAGACCAGAGAGAGACCAGAGAGAGAGACCAGAGAGAGACCAGAGAGAGAGACCAGAGGGAGACCAGAGAGAGAGACCAGAGGGAGACCAGAGAGAGAACAGAGACCAGAGGTAAACCAGAGAGGGAGAGACCAGAGGGAAACAGAGACCAGAGAGATAGAGACCAGAGGGAGACCAGAGAGGCCACAGACCAGAGAAAGACCAGAGACCAGAGACAGACCGGAGGGAGACCAGAGAGAGAGACCAGAGGGAGACCAGAGAGAGAGACCAGAGGGAGACCAGAGAGAGAACAGAGACCAGAGGAAGACCAGAGAAAGATTAGAGAGAAAGACCAGAGAGAAACTGTAGGGAGAGACCAGAGGGAGACCAGAGGAGGACCATAGAGAGACCAGAGAGAGAGAACAGAGACCAGAGGTAGACCAGAGACCGGAGACCAACCAGAGAGAGACTAGAGAGAGACTAGAGAGAGAACAGAGAGAGACCAGAGGGGGACCAGAGAGAGACCATAGAGACCATAGAGACCAGAGAGAGACCAGAGAGAGACCAGAGAGAGACCAGAGAGAGACCAGAGAGAGACCAGAGAGAGACCAGAGAAAGACCAGAGAAAGACCAGAGAGAGACCAGAGAGAGACCAGAGAGAGACCAGAGAGAGACCAGAGAGAGACCAGAAAAAGACCAGAGAGAGACCAGAGAGAGACCAGAGGGGGACCAGAGAGAGACCAGAGAGAGACCAGAGAGAGACCAGAGAGAGACCAGAGAGAGAGACCAGAGAGAGACCAGAGAGAGGAGGATTGTTTTTTTCTCCCTAAAGTGAAGTGTTTTTGTCGCAGATACTCTTCCACTGGACTTTGACTCTTACCGAGCGCAGCAGGTGCAGCTCGCCGTCTGAGGATCGAGCCACAGACTGTACACAGACGCACAATGCTAACCCGCTAGCTCAATGAAGCCCAATAGGGAAGTGCTCATGGGGAAGATTTGCTCGGACTTTCTAACTGTGGTTTATCGCTCTCTGTGATCCTGGTGTTTATGTGATGATAATGTGTTTTTTAAATCCAGATATGAGCCATATAAGGATCGACCAATCAGAATCCTTAGCAACCGTCTTAGCAACACTAAGCTAATGCAGTCAGAACAAATGCCCATATAAGGAAATTGTCTCCGGCTTATGTCCAAATCAGATCGTTATGGTGATGTCACACTCGGTCTGTGTGTGAACCAATGTTATGTATGATATGAATATTCAAAGTTATGACATAAACTGTTTTTGTTACGTTTTAAAATGCTCTGAATGATGTTGTACATTTGAGAAATAAATGTGAGTTTTGTTTAAAAAAAAAATTAAATTTTGTGTAAATGTTTTTTTGTGAATGGTGCATAAGAGTCCGCCTCCAAAAGTCCAAACTCTTACATTTGCCCCTCAGTGCTTCCAGGTCTCTGGTTTCTCTTGTTTTCTTATAAGATGAATGATTAAATGACTCTTTCTGTCTAATGTACTAAACATTGTTTAAGAGAGCAGTGACTTGGCTATATGCACCAAGCCCCGGCGATCCAAGATGGCGCCCTATTCAAATGAATGGTTGTGCCCATGGATCTATTGGGTTGCTTCAACCAGAGGTCAAAGTGCAGCAGCTGAGTGGCATAGTCTCAGACGAGAAAGGGTGACCTCCTCTCATTTCAGGGAAGTCTGCCATGTTAGAGGATCTACGTCTGCAGAGAACCTGGCTGAGAGGATCCTTAGGGGCACAAGACCTACTGCCATCATGAGAAGAGGGCTCGACATGGAAGCGGGAGCTTTAAAGGAGTACGCAGCCATGAAGAACGTGAACCTATCACAATGTGGACTGGTCATTCATCCTGATGCGCCCTGGCTCGGAGCGTCGCCTGATGGGCTGGTGTATGATCCCCTGGAGAGACCCACATGGGGCTTGGTCGAAATGAAATGCCCGAATGTGCAGAGCTACATGGACTGCAAGTACCTCTGTGCAGCATGGCCAACACCATGTGTACCACTGACAGGTCCATGTGTACCACTGACAGGTCCATGTGTACCACTGACAGGTCCATGTGTACCACTGACAGGTCCATGTGTACCACTGACAGGTCCAGGGACAGCGGCTCGTCACTGGCATGACCTGGTGTGATTTTGTCATCAGTGCAAATGAAACATGTTTGTGCAGCGCAGTCACAGGGAGGACAGTGATATTAAGCATAAAGGAGCGATGTGATTTGTTTTTCTTTAACACATACATCTCCAAATAATTATCCTCAAATTGAGAACCCTCCCTTAAGATAACCTTTGTTTGTCCCACAGTGGGGAAATGTCATTGTTGGAGCACACATACAGGACAGTAGCACAAAAAATAAATACTAATGTTACTAGCTGTAATACTAGCTGTAAATGCTACAAGTCTTTTTAAAAAAAAGTAGTGCAAAGTTATAGTTTACTGGATGTGCATGATTTTGATTTAGTGCATCTTATTGTTTCTGTTCACGATTTAGTGTTTGACTTCTGCGTGTGTCATTTTTAAAATACAAAATTACATTTTACAAATCAATTTCTGTTCTGCTTGGTACCAAATCTGCTTAGACTGGTTTATTGGGCACAACTCCCACGAATTGCACTTTGCTACAATTAGAATAAAGACATTTACTAATGATCTATTTAAGGACATTATGGTGTATTTCTGCACAGCCCAAAAGCATAAGTAAAAGGACAACATAGTTTAGTTAGAAGTCTGAATGCATTTATTTGCTAGTCAAGGGTTTAGAGAAGTGGATACAACATGTATCTAAGTATTATGGAAAGGGACAAGGCTACAAAAAAAATCACAACACGGATCAGAAAATCAAACACACAACATGAAATGATAGAAAAACATTGGTATTGGTCCAAAGGGGCCGATGATGATTATGGAAAGGGACTGGCCCAGGCTTTCACTAAAGGTCCGTTCTGGTAGTTTACAAGCAGACAGGCAACAACATAAAGCTGATTAATATTTCCAGTTGAAGACGAGGGGAGCACTGTCCTGAACAATTTGTGTTCCTTCACCCTTCTGATGACGCGCTCCACGTGACCTCTAAGCCTGGCAATGGACTGAGTCTTCCTTACTGCGGCTCCAGACAGCTGTTTCTGTTTCTTCAGGAAGGCGGGTATGTGGACTTTGCAGGGGACCAGGTCTTCCACAAGGAAACCCTTGTCCACCATAATAGCCATGGAGGGCTTCAGCAGAGCTACAAGGCCTGACTGCTTGAGAATTTCCCGGTCACTGACACAGCCTTCATAAAGTGGAGAGATGAATGTGATTGCGCCATGAGGAGCCATTCCAATCAGTCCCTTATAAGTGCAGTGTGATTTGTAGCTGGAGCACAGCTCACTTTGCAGCAAGAGGGAGTCAGGTGTTTGACAGCGCAGCTCTGTGCAGTCCAAGATGACTTGTGTGTCACTGTACTCTGAGAAAACCTCTGGCATATAATGTTGTACGGCCTCCTCATCCAGCCAAATACCAATAGCTCCCAACACTTGATATAAAAAATTGGCCCAAGTGGTGATGATGCGGCTCACAGTGGACTGGTGAATACAAAATATATTAGCCAGATCCTTCTGCACCAGATCCAAAGCTAGATAATTCATAAAAAGAAAAAACTCATCAATGGGTTGAAGTGAGGTTGGAAAAGCATCTTGTCCAGACGTTTCAGCCTGACTGCTGGTCACGCGCACCATGTAAGGCAAGGCTGGTTCTATCTGGCTCCAGAAAGACATCAGGTGGGCATAACTTGAAAACCTGAGCAAGGGGCACAAGATCCTCAGTTAGTAACATCTCATTTATATGGAAAAAAGGCCATAAACCAGTGATTCTCAAGGAAATGGGACAGATCTTTCTCCATAGTAAATTGTGATTCCTAAACATTCTCATGGTTTAGTAGCAGGCTTGTGCAAAATGTTACTTACATCACAGTGTTTAACTGTCTGAGCTTAGATAAGTCAGAATTGTTCAGCTGTAACTTGCTAAACTAATATGTAATATGATCTTAACACAAATTGAACCATGTGTTTACAAAGGCTGCTTATTATTGAGAGAACTCAGTAGAACTGCAGCTATCAAATATTTTGGTAATTGAGAATTCAATCAAATAAATTATATCAAATGACAAGATATTTCTTGCACTATATACAGTATTTTTAAAAAGTATTCTATGCTTGCTTTTTTACAATGCTAAAAATGGTTACATTTTGGATTATTCAGAGCTTTCTATCTTACCTCGTGTACAACCTGATGTCTTCATCGGAGCCAGCAAAGCGTTGCAGACCGAACCTGCAACTGACGGTCATTTCTTCGACCCTTCTCTGGAGCGCCTCTACATGAGCCCGGGACTCCGCTGCTTTGCTCAGGGCTAAATCCAGAGCAGCTGGTTCAGAAGTGGTGGAGCAGTAGTCGTGGTCAGAGCAGGCCACCCCCAACTCTGGATCCTCTTCAGGGTCTAAACGGGGAGGATTTGGCCGCTCCGTTCGCTCCCAAACACCGGGTCGTGGAGCAGGGAGGCTATACCCGGTCCAGTCAAACAGCAGCGGGACAGCACCTCTCCTCAACATGCGACGTCCTTGTGGGGTGGTGGGCTGGATCATGTCTTCAGCCTCAAAGTGGCGAGAACAGACCCGTGTGTTTGACGTCACCTTAAACTGGTCCCTTCTTATTTTCACGATCCACTTTTTTCGCAGTGAAGCATCTCCAGGGAATGTGAAAAAACTTAAAGCAGAGTTAAATCTGGCCGAATTTGAGCATCGTGGAACACAGCAGTGATAACCAGACGTACTGTCCTGTCTCCGTTGAAAAGTAAACGTTGAAACTTTCGACGTCATCTCACACTAAAAACACGATTCAACAAAAATAGTCTCTGTAATCAGTAGCAGTAGACCGGGTATGACGCAGTGCCGGAAGTGACATCTCATCTGACGCAGAACCCGGAAGTGATGCGTGCATATTCTGAAAAATCTTCCCAAAACGTTTTAGTTTTTATACTAGTTTGATTAAAATGAGCTTAGCATGAGTTCGTTTTAACCTAAGTTAGCTTTAGCCTGGACTGTGACCAGTGCTTCTAGGTCTCGGTCTCACAACATTTTACTTTAAGAATCTTTCTGTCGGGCAAACTACACATTATTTATGAGATAGTAGTTCGGTACCTCAGCTTTAACACTCAGACTCCCAGAAATGTCCCAATTAGTCCCAGACATTCGGAACATGCTCCAATTCAAATCAAATTCTGAAAAATTTCCCTCAAAAAGTGGTAGTTTTTTATGGAAGCCCGTTTCCGCCATGTAAAAAAATAAAAATGCCTACAGAAAGTCAAAATTATGAGTTTAAAACTCGAAATTATGAGTTTTAAACTCGAAATTATGAGTTTAAAACTCGAAATTACGAGTTTTAAACTGCGCATGTGCAGTTGCTGCCCCGTATGTGTTGTTGTCTGGAACGGTGTCTGGACACCCTTCACCTGCAGGTTATGTTGAAGATACTGCCCACAGTGACCACTGCATCCATGAAGTAGCAGCAATAATGTTGGGGCAGAAATCGCGTTAAAATGTGAACGTCTGTTTATGATTAGAATCTGCTCAAGGAGCCTCTATTTAGTTTATCCTCAACGGACTGTGGAAGATTAATAATAAAACACATGCGGCTGAAGTGGTCTCATTCATTGAGCATCAACTGGTGACTTTTATTATTGTGACTGACAGAGACGTTCGCGATTACAGGACAGTGAACCACAGACAGAGGCAGGAGAACCACAGACAGAGGCAGGAGAACCACAGACAGAGGCAGGAGAACCACAGACAGAGGCAGGAGAACCACAGACAGAGGCAGGAGAACCACAGACAGAGGCAGGAGAACCACA